TCTTGCAGTAGGTTGGAATACGACGGAATTTCAAGTATGCGGGAAGGGCCTTCCGCCTTTACCTCGGTTCTAGTAAAGCCCTCCTCGAACATCCTCATGTCCTCAAGGTCAATGTCGGAGTCGGATTCATAATCCTCCACCATAACACCCTTCCCCCTCTCATTGGCCGAAGAAGAGGTGCGGTTCTGCTGAGATGATGATGGTCTGCTCGGAACAACAACGGCAGCCTCGGAACTCCGTCCCTCCGCCACAACAGCCTCTTGAATGCTTGCAACGGGCGTCGCCACCGCTTCCAGGCTGGCACCACCACCGGTTTCGGGTACCGTAAAAACAAGGTTGCCCCTTGAGGGAGTTTCGGCTAAAGAAGCCCCTTCCAACACTATCCTTCACCTCTTCGATGGGGCCTCTCCGCTACTAACACGAGAGGATTCGCCCATTGAATGAACTACGGGGATCGGAGTCTCCGGCCGAGGAGCAACCTCTAAGCGCAAGGTTTCGGTCGCGGACGTGGTCCGCCGTGCGATCAAATTCTGTACGTCCGCATCCACAGAAGCTCTTGGTGCGGGCCGAGCAGGACGAGCCGGTAGACGGAACGCAAGCGGAGGAGCCTTCGTCCTTCTCACTCCTCTCCGACCTGACAATAAGGAGAGATTTGATCATATAACGACAAGGTTTTTTTTTAAAAAAAAAGAGTTGCGGAGCAGAGAACGAAGCAAGACCACAATGAGCCAACTCACCAGTAAGAGGCTTGCGCCCAAACTTCTCATGGAAAGGCCCTCAAACACGAATCCCCATCGTATGGGGGAGAATTGCACTCACCCACTCGTGGATATCGGCGACTAGCGGGGGAGGTAGTCTCTCGGCTACAAAAACCAATGCAAATCCTTAGTGAAGTCGTTAAAGGGAGATGACCGACGAGCGTCTTAAGAAAAAGTGCATAAAGTGAACAGAAAGGAAAACTCACGAGCAAAATTCCACGTCTCAGGAAACCCCATCGGGTTCGACACGACGTGCTCTATTCGGACATAGAAAAAGCTCTCCCAAAAGAGGCGATTGTCCTTATCGTCCATCTTCACCACTAAACTCTTGGTTCCTAGATGACGCATATGAATCATCGTACCCCGAAGGAAATGGGGGGCAAAGAGGTGGAGCATGTGCCCTAGAGAAATCCCTCGGCCGGCCAGTTCTGCGTACTTGATGAGCATGAGGAAAAGCTTGTACGCATATGGAGAAATTTGGGCCAGGCACACCTCATAGAAGCGGCAGAAATCTACCACCAAGGAAGAAAGGGGAAGCGTGTACCCGATGATGAAGGCATACGCGTAAAACGCGCAGTAGCTCGAGCGGTGTAAATGCCCTATGACCTTATCCGCCTGTACTATTTCAATATGATCAGAGATCCACCATTTGGCTTTGAACTCCGTGCGCACCGCAACATCCATCATGGAAGGAACGGGCTTCGGCTCATCTCCGGCAGGGCTGTTAAAATCTGTCCTCGCTTTCCCCGGACGGGGAACCACCTCATCCACTGTTGGGAACCCCTTGTCTTCCACCACTACTACTCCCTCCTCGAGTAGGATATGTCATTTTCCGGCACCGGAACATCTACAGACTTATCGAAGTGGGAAAAAGTACTAGCCATTCTTTAATTTTGATCGAAAGAAACGAGGATGATGAAGGAAAAAGACAACGGTCACAGCAATCCTAGCAGAAACAGAAATATGAGAGACTAGAGAGGGAGGAGAAGATTTGAGAAGTTGTTTCTCAAGCAATTGAAAAGTGTAACCTTCGAATGAGAGGTCCCCTCCCCCCTCCCCCCCCCCCCCATTTATATGGATATAAGTACACTGAGTGGGAAAACCAAGAGCCGCCAGTTTAAAAATGGAAAAGGCACGGGAAACGATACAATACCTAGAAAACGTGCACCATAATGACGCATGGGGAATATTGATGACACCCTGAACTGACGTGAAGTTCCAATTTTGGACTGACATGATGGTCTGACGCAATTCTCGAAGCGTCATTTCGCTACCTCGTCATGAGGTTCTCTCCCCTCGCTTGAAGCGTTCAGATTTCTCCCAATTGTTGTATCAACAGAGTCCGCCCATCGAGCTCGCCAAGAGGCGACCCCAACGGGCGAAGGGACTAACTGTATGGGTCAAAATCTGACCACACGTGGATTAGCACTAAAAGAAACGGTAAGGGGTTGGCTAAGTCGTGGCCGTACCTACAAGGCGTAATAACAACGAGTATCTCAGCCACTACCGAGATCGAGCCATCAGAAAGCTTGTACGGCAAAGTAAATATCATGATACCTAGGGGAGGAAAGTCTTCTGGTTAAAGACCACTGGACAAAAGGGAATACTCGTAATATATATAGGGGAGAAGAAGACAGAAGGGCTCTCTCTCCTACAGAGGAAAAAGGCAGAAGAACCAGAGAAAGCAATAGGAGAAAAATACGAGAAGCCGTAGACTTCGGTGACAAATCTTTGTAATCGCCTTTCTTGAATCAATAAAGATAGATCTTGCAACCATCAATGGCATTCCCTCTGTTCTTCCTTTGTTTTTGTATCACGAGGCAATATATGGTGGATCATATTATTTACATTTGATATCTTCTATAAATCTTGAAGTTCGTGAGCTTGAATACATCTTATTCTCCTATCCAATGTGCTTTGATGTTTAATCTAGAGTTAATTATTCTTGGCTAAGATTTATCCTCTATATTCTTATTAATTAGTTTAAAAAAAGCTTAATACTTTTTGGTCAAACAGTATCGATATTAAATGGAAAAATAGAGGATGTCTATTAGCAGGTATTGCCTCTACCAAGGTTACTATATCTAGTACAAATCTTGAGAAAAGATCTACCATGCATAGCTAGGGGTGTTTGTTGGTCGGTACGGTACGATATTTAGACATTTTGGCTCGGTATTTTCGGTATTCGATTTCTTAAAATCCTATACCAATACCGTACCTAATTAAATTCGGTATGGTTCGGTTTTTCTCCTTTCGGTTTTGGTTTATTCGGTTCAGTAACTTCGGTTTATTCGATTTGAGTACTAACTAGTGCATAGAGCCATACAATCTAATATTCTTTATTAAAGTATTCAAAAATACAAAACTAAAAATGTTTGTTGACAATTTTTTTTTCCAAAACTAGCAAATATCAACCCAAATAGAGAAAATTGTACATAAAAGAATATTTGATTATTAGAAATGTCTTGTTACTTGTTTAGAGTTAATTGATAAAGGAAAGTAAAATTTTAGATTTTTTATATTTATGTTATAATTGATAATATGTGTTTTGTGTAATATAATATATATTTCGGTACGGTATTGGTATTTCGGTATTTTATCTTAAAATACCAAATACCATACCTAATACCAATTTTTTTAAAAACTTAAACCAAATACCATACAAAATACCAAAATAGCGTATACCAAATACCAAAATTTTCGATTTCGGTTCGGTAATTCGGTATTTACCAAATTATGCCCAGCCCTATGCATAGATGTAAACTGCGTACCAATTCAGAGGCGGATTTAGTATCCCTAGAAGAAAATATTATGCGACACAGTAAACACATACATTAAATTTATTATTTGTAGCTAAATTTTCAGAAAATTACCATTCGTAGCTATATTTGAATTTTACAGCAAATTAATCTGTAGTACTAAAATAGGAGATCAATTCTTTTAAACTGAAACTAGAGAGTAACTAGTTCTCGTAGCTCAGTTGGTTAGAGCACTCGCTTAGTAAGAGGAGGTTAGGTCTTGAGTTCCCTATCAACGATATCATTCTATTTTTTTTTGTATTTCTGTATTCCCCTTGGTTGCATTCGTTGTGCGAACGAATTCAGTTGATGCAGGTTGTAAAAATCGTAGGTCTAAAACAATTTAACAGTAGCTATGGTAATAAATGTAGTGTTTTATAAAATTCTTCTTTCTAGAATATGATTGCACCACTAAAAAGGGAGAAAAGAAAAGTATTAAGTAGGAATCAATCCTAGTTCCTTTGAGTAAATAAGTCAATAATCAACAAAGTGTACCATTAAGTCTCTTTGTAGCAAGAGGACCAATAAATAATAATAGCCCAATTCTAGAAAATACGTACATAAAATGTGCAGATGAAAAGTTAGTTGCCAATCAGTTGGTTGGACTAAAGTGTATCTAGAAGAAACTTAGGGGTGTACTAAAGTGATAACTACTTAGTATATAAAAGACTAAGTCAGTTATCACTGTACATAACAGAAAATGAACATTTCTTCTTCCTCTCTCTCTTCTTCTTCTCTCTGAATTCAATACAACCAACCCACATTCATTGTACATGTGTGAATCGTGTAGATGTATGCTTGATTAATACAATTTGATATGGTATCAGAGCGGCGATCGGTCGATTCGAGTTGTTCTTCGCCTTCAATTTAAGAATTTAGCTAAGTTCAAGCTCGCAGAGGTACAACAATGGCGGATGGTGAACTTGGACAACTTCCTCACAACCATCCACTATACCTTAAGGATTCATATTCGCCAAGAACAACTTTAATAGCTCTCAAACTCACATGGACATAAAATTATGTCCTGTGGAGTAGATCTATGAGAGTAGCTCTCCTAGTGAAGAAAAAGTTAGAGTTTGTGGATGGACGTGCCTCAAAGCCTCGTACATAGGAGAATTAACGGCGCAATGGGAAATGTGTAATGGAGTAGTCATCTCATGGCTTAGTAGAACTGTAGCGGCAGAGTTGGTGCCAAGCATCATGTACGTTCGAGTGCAAAGAGTTCAAGGAAAGGTTTGACAAAGATGACCTTACCAGAATCTATCACATATCTATTGATATTGCAACCCTAAAGCAAGGTACATAGTGTGTGACCTATTATTTCTCAAAATTGAAAGACTTACGGAATGAATTAGACATCCTAGAACCACTACCCTCGTGTGACTGTGAAGAATCATGCCCATATGTAGATCATTTAGTGAGACAAAGACTACTACCATTTTTAATGGGGCTGAATGAGAGTTACAGCCATGTAAGAAGTGCAGCGTTGCTGAAAAGGCCAGTCCTTACTGTGAACCAAGCTTATGCAGTTGTAGTACAGGAGGAGAGTCAGAGGGAATTAGGATTGGTTGACACAAATAAGGAGCCAATGACTATGTTAGCATAAAACGGAAATCCGTTTTTGAAGGGGAAGAAGCCAGGACTTATTTGTGAACACTGTGGGTACAAAGGGCATTTAAAGGATAACTGCTACAAGATCATTGGGTACCCAACAGACTTCAAAAGCAAGAAAAAAGGTCAATTTCCTGCCAAATCTTATGCTAACAATGTCAATGGGGAAAATGATGTTACAATGAACAAGCAGCCACAGGGGAACTGTATGACTGAGGATCAATACAAGCACCTAGTGAGTCTGTTGACAAAGTCATCAGTGGAAGGGAGTTCCAACAACACAGCAGGCTCAGCAAACATGACAAGTATAAAGTCACTATTATCTAATGCACAATCATATGATTGGATAGTGGATTCAGGAGCATCACACCATATCACCTTTTGCAAGGAAGTTTTAGAAAAATTAAGGAGAGTTAATAGAGGAAATAGTAGTGGAGTCCAAATACCTACAGGAGGAAGATCAGAAATAGTACACACAGGAGATGCAACAATACTAGAAGGGCAGAAGATTAGGAATGTTTTATATGTGCCTGACTTTAAGTTCAATATCATTTCAGTATCCAAGCTGACTAGAGATTTATGTTGTTCAGCATGCTTCTACCCTAGTTTTTGTGTGTTTCAAGGGCTTTACTATGGCAGGATACTGGGGATTGGTAGAGAAGATGAAGGATTGTACATAATTAGAGGTGAAGAGGAGGAAATAGTAGCTGGCTCAGTCAAAAAGGAAGAAATAATGCAGTATTGTGGCATCAATGGATGGGACATGCATCCACAGGTTCATTACAATGCTTGCCAGATTTGAAGAATAAAATGAATCACAATGTACAGAAGAACTATGAGATTTGTCCATTATCCAAACAGAGTAGACTGAAGTTTCCTATTAGTAGTCATCAATCTGACTGTATTTTCCAACTTGTGCAAATAGATGTCTGGGGACCATACAAAGTAGCTACTTATGAAAAGAGGCATTACTTTGCAACCATAGTAGATGACTATAGAAGGTATACTTGGATCTGTTTGCTACAATATAAATGTGAAGTAATAGTAGTATTGAAGGATTTCTTTTCTCTTGTGAAGCATCAGTTCAGTACTACTGTTAAAGTGTTAAGATCTAACAATGGTACAAAATTTTTCAATACAAATTGCAACGAATTGTTGTCATCCTTGGGTATAGTACATGAAAGTAGTTGTACCTAGACTCCACAGCAAAATAGAGTAGTAGAGAGAAAACATAGACACATATTAGAGGTAGCAAGAGCAATGAAATTCCAAAGCAACATACCTACTAGATTTTGGGGATTGTGTTAGAACTGCAGTGTATTTGATCAATAAGTTGCCTACAACTGTGCTGAACGGAAAGTCTCCATATGAAAAGCTCTATGGGAGACAACCTAAAGTGGACCATCTGAGGGTGTTTGGGTGTCTTTGTTATGCCAGTACATTGCCAAGTGGAGACAAATTTGCAGCCAGGGCAAAGAAATCATTATTCATTGGATATTCAAAGGTGTATAAGGGATATAGACTGTATGATCTGGAATCCAATAGATTTTTTGTAAGTGGGGATGTGAGCTTTAGGGATGACCTTTTGATGTGATTCTTCGAGTTAACAAAGAACCACCCGGCCAGGATCAGAACCTTGAAATAAAAACATGGTTTGTGGGTCGATTTCAAGAAACAACGTATCTCAAGTTTTAGCACTCGGAATCTAATGATTCAAAAACGAGGTGAAAAATGACGATCTGAACTATAAGAAAGACTATTTACTCGTTCAAAACAAGTAAATATTGATGTTGCACCAGTTCAATGAAAGTTATGATTCTATGATGTCAAAAGAATGAATTTAGATCAAGAAAAGTGTTCTTGAAAGATGAAGAACTAAACAAGTTCCTAAAGTCACCATTTGGAATCAATTAATGTGATAAAGAAACACCACACGCAATTGAAAACAAGATAAAGACTATCACCACCTTGCTTGGAACCAAAAATAAGGATAAAGAAGACAAAATAGAGAAATACTCTATTGTAAAACTAGGGCAAGCCTAAAAAACGTGAATTATATTCTACAAGGCAAGAGAACCCTTTTTATAGGCCTAGAGTCTCTTATTTGATGACTATAATTCCTATTCTAATAAGGAAATAAAATAACTAAAGACAAGGAAAGTAAAAACCTTATTCTACAAGGAAAAGAAACTAGAATCCTACCAAAAGGAAAATCCTTATTCTAAAAGGAATAAAACAAATCCTATTTTAAGAAGGAAAGAATCTTGGCTTCTTGAAATCAATCTTGAGCTTCTTGGACTTCTTGCGCTTCTTGAAAATAAGTCCATATGTTTGGATTTGAGCTCTAAAATATTATCTTGGCCAAAATTAATAAAATTTAACATAGATTCTTCTTTTACATCACATTTTTCCTTTCAAGGCTTTGCCTAGTGAACCTGAGAATCTGTTCCTTCCTGATGTTGATTGCCCAACAATTGCTAGGGATCAACCTATTTCAGCAGCAGATAATGATCTGGGGATAGCCTCTCAATAGAAGGCAAATGATCAAATACACAACACTGAAGCAGATGATTCCAACAATTCTGTAGCACTGGATGTGCCACTAGATGAGGTAGTCAATGACATAGAGGAACTTGGGTTAGGAGAGAGTAGTAACCAAGATCATGCACAACAATAAGACCCTCCACAACAACATGAACATGGAGAGACTGCACTTGAACAAATGACATCAGTTGTGCCAGAACCTACACTTCCCTGGAGCAAAAAGTCAACAAGAACAACAAAGCCAGCAGTGTGGCTCAAGGATTATATGACTTCATGTAAACCAAAAGGAATCAACCTCTATTCAGCTTCCAATTATGTGAGCTATGCTCTCTTGTTAGAACACTACCAATGCTATCTTGGGTCATTCTCGCTCACATGGAACCAAAATTTTTTTAGGAAGCTTCTCAAGATGACATATGGATAGAAGCAATGAAGCAAGAGATTCTTGCACTTGAAGAAAACAAGACCTGGGAAATAGTGGATTCGTCTCGAGGAAAGCAAACCATTGGCCAAAGTGGGTGTATAAAATCAAACACAAAACCAATGGAAAAGTGGACTGATTCAAAGCCAGACTAGTTGTCAAAGGATGTACACAACAGTAGGGGTTAGATTGCCATGAAACATTTTCACCTGTTGCCAAGATGGTAACAGCTAGAACTGTGATAAACCTCGCAGTATCTAAAGGATGGACTTTGTCTCAAATGGATGTGAACAATGCCTTCTTACAAGGTGATTTGTAAGAGGTTCCATAGGCAGGGGGAGTATAAAGTTTGCAAACTACTTAAGTCCCTTTATGGCCTCAAACAGGCATCGAGACAGTGGAATATAAAACTGACTGATACACTGATTGGTGCTGGGTACTCTTAAAGTGCCTATGATCATTCCCTGATCACAAAGAAGGCCGATGCAGAACTGATGATTATCTTTGTATATGTAGATGATCTGTTGATTACTAGCAGTTACAACACATTGGTGGAAGAAGCAAAATCAACTCTACACAAACATTTCAAGCTGAAGGACCTAAGTGAACGTAGATTCTTCCTAGGAATTGAGCTCATGAGATCAACAACAGGAATCATACTTAATCAAAGAAAGTATGCTCTTCAGCTGATTTCAGAGGTCGAGTTAAGTGGGGCTAAACCGGCTAGCTCACCATTGAAACAAAACTAAAAATTGACAGCTTATTGAATATGATAAACATGCAGGGACTAAAGGAGATGAGGAGTTGCAAGACATTGTAAGCTATCAGAAACTAATAGGGAAACTTATACCTCACTAATACTAGGCCAGACATATATTTTGCAGTTCAGGTTCTAAGTCAATTCATGCAGCATCCAAAGCAATCACATTTAAATGCTGCACTGAGAGTTGTGAGAAACATTAAAGGTTCACCAGGAATGAGAATATTACTGAAGAAAGGATCACTGAAAAAAGTCACAGCCTATTGTGATGTAGATTGGGCAGCTTGCCCAAACATAAGAAGGTCTGTAACTGGATCTGTGATAAAACTAGGAGACTCTTTGATCTCCTGGAAATCCAAGAAACAACCAACTGTAAGCAGGAGCTCTGCTGAGGCTAGAAGCATGGTAGCAGTAACTGCAGAATTAGTATGGTTAGTGGGATTGCTGATGAAGATGGGCCTAACTGTGAAGGAACCAGTAATGCTATATTGTGACAGCAAAGTAGCTATGCAGATAGCAGCTAATCCAGTGTACCATGAGAAAATAAAGCATATAGAGATTGACTGCCATTTTGTGAGATAAAAAAATTAAGGAAGGTTTGATTACACCTCAGTATTTTTCCACTAAAGAACAGCTCGCAGATGTGATGACCAAAGGATTGGGAGTTGAGCAGCTCATAACCTTGATATCCAAGCTGGGAGTGTTCAATGTATTTCACCCTCCAGCTTGAGGGGTAGTGTGCAGATAAGAAGTTAGTTGCTAATCAGTTGGTTGGACTAAAGTGTAACTAGAAGAAACTTAGGGGTGTACTAAAGTGATAACTACTTAGTATATAAAAGATTAGTCGGTTATCACTGTATATAACAGAAAATGAACATTTGTTCTTCCTCTCTCTCTTCTTCTTCTCTCTGAATTCAATACAACCAACCCACATTCATTGTGCATGTGTGAAATTGTGTAGAGGTATGCTTGATTAGTACAATTTGGTATAAAATATCTAGAAAGACTATGAATTTACGTGCCCCATAATTTGAGCTATAAATCCGGCCCTGCGTACCATATTATACATTACAAAAGGGCTTCGCCAGCCTACCTTATTAATTAGATTTATTTGGAAGTAAAATGCTAATACAAAGAGATATTTACATGATAAATAAACAATTAAAGTTGAAGAAGAAAAGGTCACTATTTTCATCCTATAATAATTTGTGTCTATTTCACAAGTCAATTTTTTTTACAGAATCTTGATTGATGGTGTATAACAGTTGGATAGCTATTAAGTTTCCAATAATACCACTTTATAAGTTATTAGATGCTTTTACTTGGTCCATACTTATATATATTGAATGTAATCTTGGAAAGTCAGAAAGCAGTTGTGCATTGATGATAGGCTATAATTGCATATTTTAGTCGCTTATTACACTCGAATTTAATGCACTTTAATTGAGTTTGCGCTTTAATCGCTAGTATTTTGCACTAATTGTGCGTTTTATGCCTTGTAGGTGTGATTCCGAGCTATATAGATGCTATGCAATGAATTTAAGTTATTTGAAGCTTTGAAGCCTGAGTAAAATCTCAAGGAATTAAGCCGGGATCGTGTTCGGGGGTCAAATTTGATAATTAAGTACGAACGAAGACTAGAGGAGGCATATTGCGCACTGTTTAGTAAAATAGACATAACTTTTTTCTCAGAACTCCATTTGGGCTCCAGAATATATGGTTGGAAAGCTAACTCAAAGGGCTACAACTTTCATGTTTTACGTTTTTCCAAATTCCAAACGGAACAGGGTGAAAAATCGCGGTTCCACCGCGACCGCGGCAGAACCGCGGCAGAGTGTACTCGCGGACAACTGAAGAATCAGAGGGCATGTTTGGCCGCGGTTGCACCGCGACCGTGGCAAAACCGCGGCAGGAAGCGAAAATTTCAGGGACTAAAGTGCAAAATATGGGATTTTAAGTCCTAAACCCTATATTAAACAAAGGAGGCCGGCCAAGAACAAGAGAGAGGACATATTTTGGACACAAATTAGACCTAAGGAGGCGGAGAGACACTACTTTAGGGTTAGACAACACCCTTGGAGGCAAGAACACATTGGGAGCAAGGCGGAGAATTCTTCTACGAGTTTTTCCTTCCTCTTCCTATTTTTCATTGTTGGTTATGACTTTTAGTATTGTAGTTTTACATACTGTTATGAATAGCTAATTTGTTATCTAGAGTTTTGATAGAACCTTTTGTAGGATAAATTCTTGTTATGTTTTTATATAATTGAGCCATAGCTTTTCTCTATTTGTTCAACTACGTTTATATTCTGGTTGGTTGAAGAGCTCTCAATTAGCTGTGCCTATTTAGTATGCATAACTCGGGAGAGAGTGCATATTTAGGTAATTGTTGAACAACACCACTCCCAGAGTATATGAGGGATCAATAACCGAGGGTTTAAATCACATACTGTCACATTCACATTATGAATTTACTGTGATCATCTATATAATCTTTACAAAATCTCACGTCAAATCGATGACAAATATTACTTTCACAAAGTGAAGGATTATTTTGAGAATCTTTATTGTTCTCATTACCTCAATGATGACGATTATAATTTCATCTATTGCCACGTCCACATCCATTGATACATTCATAGTAATAATTTTGTCTTCTTTCAGACTTATCACATACTGCTATCACATTCTCTTAAGGGCATGAGAATGAAGCAAATTCAATGGGACGGGTTTCCACTTCTTTGTCCACAATCATACATGAAGTTTATCATGGCAAGGCATAGAAATTTTACCACTTCGGGTGGTTATAATTTCTTGCAAACTCTATTAGAGTTACAATCAAAGTTTATTGTCTTTGCTTGTATTTAAAATCAAATTATAGAATTTCAAGAAAAATAAAGTAAAATGCTTACCTTAAATCCGGAAATTAATCATGAAGGAAGTTCATGGAATGGACAATCATTATGCTCAATCTCAAAGCTTCTACTCAATTGGATAGAGTCTTGTACTGATAACGTGTTATGAAACAATAAA